TAACAGTGGCGGATGCAGGGGGGTTCCATGGGTTCCTAGGAACCCCCCTCGAGCATAAAAAATAAAAATAAAATATATGATAAATGAAATAAAATGAAAACGCATCGCGCACAAATGCATCCGAGAAGGATAAAGGTGGCTTATATCTTGCAATAGGCAAGCGGCTTTATATTACACTTTTACCACATGGCTGCAATGTACGCACACAGAACTGTAAAGCGTTCAAAGAGTTGCGTTATCTAAAACTACATTCACGCTACATTTGCTACAGTTCGAGAGGCACAGTAAAAATGTTCGTTTTAGGAAAATGCGAAAACAAAGTGGAACCCCTCTTTGAAAAATCCTTGATCCGCCACTGGTTAAACTTAAATAAAGGATTTCTTATTAGCATCTATTGTTCATCCAACAAACATGGCCGCCGGTTTTTTTCTTTTTTTAATATCAATGGAATATTTGAAAACGAGAAATGAAATGGTCAAATTTAATTTAAATCCGCCATATTGGATGGCCGAAGAATGTAAACAACCTCAAAAACAAAAGGAACGCAGCTCGTCAAACTTGACTTTTCTTTGTTTTGGACATCCCAGTGAAACTAGGTATTTTGCAAGTTTTGCCATCCAGTATGGCCGATAGATAGAGATAGATAGTTTAATAATAAAAAACCCTTGCAGCCATAGGCTGAATTACGGCATTATTTACATATGAGTACATACAATGGAAAAAGATAATATAAAAAAAAACTACTAAAACTATTTAAACATGATTACAAAGTTCGAAAAGCTAGATAAAGCTTGGTTAAATGAATTATTTACAATTAAAAAACATGATATTAACGGGGAATCTTAGACTAATACAGCGTTCGCATAGATAAAACTTGATTTAGTACCATGTAACCGTTCATGCAAAAGTCCTATTTGAAAAGCTGGTTATCATTTCATTTATTTTTTATCTTTTATATTTGCATTTCACTTTCATGGCTTGTGTGAACTTGGCTTTGCATGGAACTATACACATGTGTGTTTTCGTAAATTCGTGTGTGGTTTTCCAAAGTCAATCTAAAGTTTAATTAACGTACAAAAACCTTAACTGTGGTTGAAATCATGGCGTTTGTGYTATTGATGTAACCCTGTTGTGTTAAGACCACACAATGTTATAAATATACAAAGTGTTTAGCGTTTTCGATTATTCATTTTTTGTCACATCGGTTTGTGGCTTGTGGCGAGTAGTGTTTACAGCCACATAATATAGAAAAAAAAATTGGAAAAAACCCTATTCTTGCAATTGTTCTTGAAGAGAAATCAAGGAAAACGTGCAGTGTAATGCAATTTTTGTGTCTTTTTCGTTTGTATTTTTTTCCTTTTGTTTTGTTTCGTTTCTGTTTTGTTTTTTTATTATTATTATTTACTTTTATTACCTTAAGTCTTTTATAGCTTACCTTAGTCTCAAATTTCTTCTTTTTGTCCGGAAGCAGAATGACTTTAACGTAAGGATCGGAYGATCCGCTGAAGTCCTTTGCGGGGATGTCCTCGGCACGTATCACTCCAACCSTCAGAGAATTATCATTGAAGTTGTAGTCCAGATTAAAATTTATTCTTCCTAAAAAATCATAAAACGAGAAATTTTATCAAACTTTTTATAAATCCTGGTATTGTATATAATGTGCACTACTGCGCATGTATGGTTTTAGGTACGAAAGTCGCGCCTACCGAGGCTGGACAAGTCTGAGTTTCGATCTACTTTTGCAGTAGGGTTATTAATTTGAGAGTTAGCCATTTTTCTGACTGTAGTGAGCCACTTTACTAAATGGTGCTACTTAAGATATAAACCATCTTTACATGAGTTTACTATATTGAGCCAAGTTTTGCAATTGACCATAGCAAAAACCTATTTAACGCCTGAGCATGAATTTTCTGTCGTGAGCCACCTTAAAGCTTTGACCATAACAAAAACTAACCTATCTTAACTCCTGAGCTGTGATCAGAGTAGTAGTCCTCGCTGTTGTAGTCCAGTTCATCAAACGAAGGCTGTACTTTCTCTTGGTAACTGGCGCCAATTTTCACAGCTTGTAGATCGACGCGYTCTTTTTTCTTGTCTTTTTCCTTTTTGTCTTTTTTACCGCATTTTCGACAGCAACAGCAGTAGATACAGAACACAACGGCTAACGCAGCAAGGACGCCAACGACGGCAATGATCCATATTGGAACTGCAAGTGATTGTACGGAATCTTTACGTTACGTAAAGTATGCGTAAAGCGCGTGTGAAAACGGTAATGCTGAATACTGCGCTATATAAATAAATATTATTATTATTATTATTATTTTTTAAGAATGCTGATTGCATAAACACGTTTCCGCAAAGCCATTCTTACGAATACGGTTATCGTCCATACGTATCCGCGAAACAGTTCTTGCGTATACGTTTGCGTCGACGCGAATTCCCATCATATTTTATTATGAACAGGGCTAACGTCTACGCGTAACTATAAACGTTTTCTTATGAATGCTGCTTGCGTCCTATGCATGTATCCGCAAGGGCATTTCTTACTGATACGTTTTACGTCCACATGCATACGCTGAGTATTTCCTTAAAGATACGGTTACGTTCGTACGTTTACACAAAGTAATTCTTACAGATACGGTGTTTGTCTACACGTATATGCAACACGTATATACACGTATATACGAAGACGGTTTGAAAATCATTGAGATTTACCAACGATGCACCCCATGGAATTTTATTGATAAATTTCAACAATTTCCATAAGATTCAAAAGATAAAAGACCGACCACCATGTTGGAGGAATGAACAATAGATACTAATGAGAAATCATTTGTTGAAGTTCCTCCAAGATGGACGCTGAGAAGTATATTGAAAACGAAGGATACAAAATATTGCCATAGAGAAATAGAACTTACAATTGGATTTTCTTTGAAAGAAAGGTAAAAATAAAGACCGTGTTCGGCTTGAGTGATTGGCTTTGTCCTTTTAACGACTTCTTTTTTAATACTCCAGTTTCGAATTCAAAGCGAATAACCGCTGTTTTACTTGACAGCAGATTCTATTACGCAAAGAACTTACCAAAGACAAAAGAAAGCACGAGAAAATGTTGGTAATACAATAGCGCTAAGAATCTACATTTTCCCCGAGTTGAGGCTAACCCTGCTCATACCTTAGGTCTTATGGGAATACAGGGATAATCTCAACTCGGGGAAAATGCAAATTTTCAAGTCTATTGTAATAACGACATTTTCTCGTGCTCTCTTTTGTGTTTGTAAGGTCTTTGCGCAAGAGAATCTGTTGTCACATAAAGCAGCGGTTATTCGCTATGAATTTCGAAACTGGAGTATCAAGTACAAATGTTTTATTTCTCTATGACAACGTATTTGAAATAAGGTGCCTATTAGCGGAAAAAATGTTTGCAAATGACGGCAAATTATACACGGCGTTGTATACAAAAAGGTTAACGTAAAAAGACCGCTACGACTTACAGACGTTTCGCACCGGCTTTTAATCCTTCGTTGCTTTTACTCCCACGAATTACTAAGTGATGAAATGTGAGAAAAGTTTTATTTTTATCTTTTTATAGTGTGAAGTTATTATTTTGTTTCAACTGTTTAATAGTAACATCTACGC